GAGCCAACCTAAGGAAGATCCTATATCTCAAAGAGAGAATATTTTTCATACTATATTTATCATTTTAAATAAAGTTTGTTCTCTCATTGTTGATAGCAAATCTTGTTGCATTTGTTTTAGTAATAGGTTGGCTGACAAGCTTATTCTTCTCACTGTTCCTCATCCAAAACCTTATCAACTTCAATGGCTTAAAGATGATGGGGCAATAGTGGTTGACCAACAAGTGAAGGTCAAGTTTTCCATAGGAAACTATGAAAATGAATTTTTGTGATGTAGTGTCTATGGATGCTTGTCATATCTTGTTAGGAAAGCCTTGACAATTTGATAAGAAAACTATACATAATGGCCTGGTAGAGGATCAAGTTCAAATGAAGAAAAAAAAAGGAAGATAAAAAGAGAAAAGTAAAGAAATCTTCTAAGAGTAGTACTAAGGGGAAGGAAAGAGTTGAGGGAACTACTTCCCCTTTAGAGATTATTCACAAGGAAAATATTTTAGCCAACAAACAAGAAATTTATAGAACTCTCCTTGTTGAACAACCTCATTTCCTTCTTCTTTGTGATAGTACTATTGTATGCATTGCCATAACTCTTGAAGGTGAAACTCTACCTAGTGAGGTTAAAGAATTTTTGAAAAGGTTTGATGATATATTCCCACAAAAAGGTCCAAAGGGGTTGTCACCTCTTAGGGGAATAAAGCATGAAATGGATCTTATTCCTGGAGCTAGCCTACTCAATAGGCTCACTTATAGGACAAATCCGCAAGAGACTAAAAAAATAGAGTCTCAAGATCAAGAGTTATTAGATAAGGGTTGGATTCAAAAGAGTCTTAGACTTTGTGCTATTCTAGCGTTGTTGGAGCCTAAAAGGATGGAAAATATAGATGTGTTGTGATTGTAGGGCCACCAAAGACATTACTATTGAGTTTAGCCATCCTATTCCTAGATTAGATGACATGCTTGATGAGTTACATGGTGCTACAATATTTTCTAAAGTTGATCTTAAAAGTGGTTATCATCAAATAAAGATTAATGGAGGAGATGAATGGAAAATTGCTTTCAAGACCAAATTTGGATTATATGAGTGGTTAGTTATGTATTTTGGGCTTACTAATGCTCCTAGTATTTTTATGTGTCTCATGAATCATGTTCTTATAGAGTATATAGGTAGGTTTGTAGTTGTTTATTTCGACAATATCTTAACATATAGTAGGAAATAAAGTGATAACATAGGGCAAGTTTTTTTTAGTCTTAGAAAAATAAACTTTTTGGAAACATAGAAAAATGTACTTTTTATGTAAATAGTGTAATTTTCTTAGGTTTTGTTATAGGAGTCAATAGGTTTCATGTGGATCCCAAAAAGATAAAGGCCATCCAAGAATGACCTTGATAGACACCAACTGGTATGAGAATAAGGACTGAAGTTTATTTAATTTAACTGGTACAGAATACAAATTATATAGGAAATTTAGTAAACTGATTTGAGTACAAAGGTTCCCTCACAAGATGTTCGAGAGCTTGGTCTCTCCCTTCCAAAACCACTCAAAAACTGTCTGACCTCTGTCCTCCTTCTTCTGCTATTTTTATTCTGCTAATAACTGCCTAGAGGCAGTTACGCTTGCCCCACACTAATAGCATCTAGTCCTAATTAAAACAACAATAACTGCTAAAATAATTAATAACTGCTAAAATAATTACAACAATAACTGCTAAAATAATTAATAACTGCTAAAACAATTCAGTCCTATTATAAAACCTAAGTCTTGGCACTCCTCTTATAATATTCTTATAAGAGGCCTGACAAACCTCCCCTAAAAATGTGGGAGATATTAGGAGTTTTCATGGTTTAGCAAGCTTCTATAGGAGATTTGTTCATAACTTCTCCACACTTACTTCACCACTCAATGAGTTAGTGAAGAAGGATGTTCCATTTCTATGGTGAAAAATAAGAAAAAGCTTTTCAACTCATTAAGGATAAGCTCACCCATGCTCCTATTCTAGCTCTACCTGATTTTTTAAAAACTTTTGAGCTAGGATATGATGCTTTAGAGACAAGTATAAGGGTTGTTTTGTTGTAAAAAGGACATCCAATTGCATATTTTAGTGAAAAATCACATGGTGCCTTCCTCAACTACCCTACCTATGATAAGGAGTTATATGTTTTAGTGAGGGCCCTTTAAACTTGGGAACACTATCTTGTTTCTAAAGAGGTTATTATTCATAGTGATCATGAATCATTCACGTATTTGAGGAATCAGAGAAAGCTTAACAAGAGACAAGCAAGATGAATATAATTTTTTTGGACAATTTCATTTTCTTTTGTCATCTCACCTGATGGAACTTCCTCTCTGTTGATGGATTGATGACTCAAGGAGAGAGACTCTTTACTCCAAGGATCATGGATCATCAAGAGCTCCTAGTTTCCATGGATGAGAGTGGACATCCAAGGGAAGAGGTGAAGGGCTTTAAGTATGGATGCTCTTAAGGTAGGGTTGGCTCACTCTAAATAAAGGTGGAGGCCAGTCTAGGGTTTTTACTCTCCAAGGGTGAAGATAAGAGAAGGTTGGCTGAAAATCTCAACCTAATGACTAAGGAAGGGATGTTGAGGCATGAAATGCTCACTCAATATCATAGATTCCAAAGTATCTACGTGGTGGGAATCCCATGGTATATATAGAAGGAAGAAAAACATCTAAGGTTACATTTGGAGGTGCTTGATATAAACCTTAAATATGGGGTGTGGGTTCCTTTCCTCCTAAAAGACTACAATACCATTTGACCTAAAAATACGAAGAAAAAAAAAAGTGGACTTTAATCACACAAGTCAAGGCTTAAGCTCAAAAATAAATCTTAAGCTAATTTTCTCCATAATACAAAGGCTAAATGAAAATACAAAATAAAATCCTATCATCTAGGGTACCCCAAAATACAAGGGTAAAATGGGAATAAAAGCAATAAATCCTATACTACTCAAAATATGCCTAGGAGAGGGTTAATATTCTACACACATGATGAGCATAGCCCTAGGCATGGTGTCTAATCCATCCTCCTCCATTCTCCTAGCCATGGACCTAGTAATGAGTCCCACATGAAGCTCCAAAGGTGGTCTTCCATCATTCCCTCTTTCTTGGGAAAGATTTGATCTCAAATCCTCAAGCTCATCTATGTCATTAATCCCTACAAAAAGTGTAAGATCAAAAACATTAAAGGAGGAACTAACTTCATAATCGGAGGGAAGGTCTAGGATGTATGCATTGTCATTGATCTTTTGGAGAACTTGAAAAGGTCCATCTCCCCTACGACTTAGTTTTGACATCCTTTAAGTAGGAAATCTATCCTTTCTCAAGTGAAGCCAAACCCAATCCCCAACTTCAAAGTTTTACCTTTTTCCTCCCTATTATTGTATTTGGCTTACTTTTGGGTTTGCTTCTTAATTTGGCTCTTGGCTTTCTCGTGATATTTCTTTACAAAATCAACCCTAGATACTCCTTCTTTGTGAAACAAGGAAGTAGTATTAGGGAGTGGGAGCAAGTCAACATGAGTGAGAGGATTAAAGCCATATACAACCTCAAAGGGGGATAAATTAGTAGTCTTGTAGACTACTTTATTGTAGGCAAACTCTATATGAGGGAGATAGTCATCCCAAGTTTTCTTATTTCCCTAATATGACCTTCAACAATATGGATAGAAACCTATTCATTACTTCGATTTTCCAACAGTTTGTGGGTGACGAGTAGTGGAATAGACAAGCTTTGTTCCTAGTTTTTCTCATAGTACTTTCCAAAAGTGACTAAGGAACTTAGCATCCTTATCAGATATAATAGTCTTGGGTAGACCATACAAACGAACAACCTCTTGAAGAAAATTTTAGCAATATAGCTAGCATCATCTACTTTGTGGCATGGTATAAAATGAGCCATTTTGCTAAAAGAATCCACTATCACAAAGATTGAATCGAATCCCTTTTGAGTCCTTAGGAGACCAAACACAAAATCCATACTAATGTCAACCCAACGAGAGCTAGCTATAGGGAGAGGTGCATAGAGTCCATGAGACATCACTCTTGCTTTTGAAGATAAATGATGCACTTAGAACAATGCCTTTGGATATCTATTCTTATATGTGGCCAATAGAATTTAGATTTTAAAAGGCTTAGGGTTTTGTTATCCCCAAAATGGCCCATGAGACCTCCCTTATGACTTTCCTTAACCAAAAGCTTTCTAATAGATCCTTGAGGTATAAAAAGTTTTCATATTCTAAATAAACATCCCTCAAGAAGATAGAATTCATCAAAAGGCTTTTGGAGGCACTTGGCATAAATGAATTAAAACTCCTTTATATTATCAAATCTAAGAATTTAAGAGCTCAAGGTGAAAAGTATTGTATTCCTTCTAGTAAGAGTATCAACCACTACATTATTCTTTCCCTTCTTATATTTTATTATATTAGGAAATTGCTTTAGATATTCCACTCACTTTGCATGCCTTTTATTCAACTTCCCTTTCCCTCTAATGTATCTAAGTGACTAATGATCGATATGTATTATGAATTCTTTAGTCACTAAGTAGTGCTCCCAAACTTAGAGGGTCTAATAAGGGCATACAACTCTTTGTTATAGGTGAAATAATTCAAGGTTGCCCCATGAAGTTTTTCACTAAAGTAAACAATTAGGTGGCCCCCTTGAAGTAGCACGACACCTATGCCAAAATCATATGCATAACATTCTTGTTCAAAGGTTTAAACAAAGTTTGGAAGAGTTAGAATGAGTGCATTGGTGAGTTTCTCTTTTAGATTTTTAAAAGCTTTTTCTTGGGCTTCACCCCAAATGAATTGTACTTTGTACATCCTTTTTAACACGCTCATTAAGAGGGGATGCAAGTGTGGAGAAGTCTTTTACAAATCTTTTATAAAAACTTACTAAACCATGAAAGCTTCTAACTTCTCCAACACTTTTTGGGTGGGCCAATCTTGGATGACCTTTATTTTCTTGAAGTCAACATGTACTCCCTCTTTGCCAACTATGAATCTAAAAAAATTTACTTGATCTTGACAAGAAATGCATTTCTCAAAGTTGGTATAGAGGTGGTTGTCCCTAAGAATTATTAAGACTTGCCTTAGATGTCCAAGATGCTCACCTAAGGTTTTGCTATATACAAGGATGTCATCAAAATAAACCACTATAAATTTTCCTATGCAATCCCTAAGTATATGATTCATTAGACGCATGAAGGTACTAGAGGCATTAGTGAGGCCAAAAGGCGTCACTAACCATTCATACAAACCAAATTTGGCTTTAAAAGGCACTATAGAGCTCATTCCAATATTGGATTGAGGGCTCATGATTTATTCTCCTTTCTTTTTCTAAGGAGGTCCACCAATACCTAGCATGTTCTTTCATTTTTGTATGCCACTTCTAAATGAGAATTGAGTTCTGCTAAATTCATTTTTGTATGTCACTGCTAAATGAGTATTGGTTTGATTGTTAATTTCATTTTTTTGTTCATGCTTTTGGTGACCAGTATAGGGCCACTGATGCAATAATCAGCAGACTAGGGAAGCTTAAGTTGGTATTTGGTATGTTAATTTCCAAAGCCCCGCTTTCAATGGAATTGAAACTTTTTAATTTATTCATTAGAATATAAAGCATGTAGTTTACAAACTTGTGTTTATGTCTAATTTAGTCCCAGAAGATGGTGATGCTCCAACGGAGCTTGATGTTTACAATTTCAAAGGCCCAGGTGTAGCACTTGCTATGTATAATGTTGATGAGGTTTGCTTCATTTCATTTTTTTTACACGTACTATCCCTTAGTGCAATTCCATGTATGCTACTCTGTATTCTTTACCTGACTTTTCTTTCTCTTCAATGACATGATAACTAGTGTAAATGAATGCAGACTTGGGATGGAGTAGACAATATGTCAGGGAACTGAGATGAATAGTTTATTTGCATAATTGTATCCATTGTTTGTTTCTTCACTGTCTTAATGAATATCTCATCATAAAAATGAATTATTGCCTCACTATGAATTATTTGAGAATTTATTTTAGCTTCATAGCTTATATATCAAATTAAAAATAGAACTTCCTTGTATCATATGAAACTAACATTCCTTTTCTCTGTTTGTTTGGGTGTGTGCAGACTTATTCCTTCTATATCATATCCTTCCATTCTTGAGTATAAATTTTACTAATTGGAAGACAAAAAAGTATTAGTTCAGTTACATGTCAGATGGAACTAATAATTGTAGAGTTTGCTTGTGGACTCATTTTTTTATGCCACTGCTAAATGAGAATTGAGTTCTGCTAAATTCATTTTTGTATGCCACTACTAAATGAATATTGGTTTGATTGTTAATTTCATTTTTTTGTTCATGTCTTTATGGAATGTGAAAGAGAGCATTTGCAATTTGGTGAAATGAATACTTTTAACATGCTAGGAGGCATCTTTTAAATAAAGTTTATTGAATTGTGTGCAGGATTTGGCTCATTAGGTCTCATGACTTTTGTGCTGGTGCGAATTAGAATATTAATATTTCAGCAATTTTTCATCAACATTGTTATCTCTATTTTGGTTATTGGAACTCATCATTTTACATCCAAAATTTTGCAGTTATCTTCTGATGGCAAGACATTGGAAGCTGAGGCAGCTCATGGAATTGTAACTCGACATTTTCAGTTTCATATTTATGTGGCCTTCTTCTTTTCAGCTAAGTTTTTTTCCTAGACTAACATTGAACACATGATATGCCATTTCTGAATTAGAATTAGGAATTATATGATAGTATAATTGCCAAACTAATGCAACATTTCTTCCTGTGAGTTTAAAACATTTATAAATATCAAAGCTTTTAGGTTGAGTCCCACGAATGAGTCATGATTTGTGTATCTTTATTCTCTAACATGTCCCTTTACATAAGAGTCACTTTAACTCTTTACGTGTGGACAATGCACAAGCCCACTTCACTTTGTACTAAATTTAATTTAATTTTGTGAATGATGAGGTGACATGTATTGTGCTCTTGACCACTTAGTCACAAAATTAAAAATTAGAAGCTCTATTGTGATTATCTAAATATAAATCATAAATGTTACTAATGGCTTTAAAGATCCTTGATATAATTTCATAGATTAGTTTGCTAGCATATAATCAAATATAAAACGCTGAACTTGGTTATGATAAGCCCGTCACTAACTGATATCAGCAAGGTTTCTTGAGCATATAAATAAGAGAAAGACCATTGTTCAAAAAACATGTTATAACTAATGCTTGTGTGTATTTATGCCAGGTTCTTCAAGAGTTTCTGAACCGAGCCAAAGAATCAAACGTTCAAAGATATAAGATTCCAGATTTACAGCTTGTAAATCTTAAAGATTTGTTGGCGGACTTAAAGAGCAGTAGTGAGGAAATCTAGCCATGCTGGAGGGAGAAAGAGGGAGATAGATATATGAAAGGGGGAGAGAGAGGGGGGAGGGAGAATGCAAGCGAAGGGGAGTCAAAGTGAGAAAGAAAAATAAAAGGAGAGAGAGGGAGAGGGAGAGAGACAAAGAGAGGGGCGAGAGACAGAGGAAAAGAAAAAAGGAGTGTGAGAGAGAGTGATAAAGAGAGGCAGAAAGAGAAATAGATGACAAGAGAAAAAAAAAAGAAGATATTTTTTGTTTTAAAAAAAGATAATGTAATCTTTTTATATTCATAAAACTTTTCCCTTAATTCAACAAAGTTGGATTTCCAACCCATGAAAACATTTTTGTAAGAAAATGGAATAAACATGAAAATAGCTATCAAACATGAAAAACTAATATTCTCACTTTAAGATTCTTAGAATTTTATGTATCAAATGCTCCCTTAGAATCCACCCGATACATGGTTAGAAAGATTAATAGTGTGTTTGAAACAAGATAGTAGAAAAGTTATAAGAAAAACATGTGAATCCTTAACAAGATTGGATCAAATAATTAAAAGTTTTAAACCTTTAATTTTTTAATCGAAGCTTGGATAAAAAGTTTTTGTAGTAGCTCAATTTAAAGAATTGGTGTTGAAGGAAATTAAGACAAGGTGTGTACAAACTTCGCAAAGCTTTATTTGGGATTATATATATATATATCGATTCTTTTATTAGATATTACTTTTGAATTTTGATTAATATTTTTTTCTTTTAGATTTTTTGTACAGAACAAATAGATAATGGTTGCAATTATTTTTCTCTTAAATGCCAAATGATTTTTCAGTTTCATCTTTTTTTTCATTTAGGCTTTAGATGGATATTAATTTTTTAAATAACTCCTAGAATTCCAGTCAAAGACAAAAATCAACCGTGTCAGATTCAAATGTTTTTCTATGGCACAACCGTCTTGGTCACCCTAATTTCAATTATTTGAAACACTTGTATCCAGATTTATTCATCAATAAAAATATTTCTTCTTTTAGGTGTGAACATTGCATTCTTGCAAAACAATCTCGAACTAATTATCCCTCTCATCCCTATCAACCATCACAACCCTTCCACCTCATTCATAGTGACATATGGGGTCCTTCTCGAATTCCTAACATAAATGGAGCTAGATGGTTTATCACCTTTATAGATGACCATACTCGTGTGTGTTGGGTGTACCTCTTGAAAGAAAAATCTGAAGCCAGCACAACCTTTAAACAGTTTCATAAACTTGTCACCAATATTTTTGGCTCCTCAATTCACATCCTTCGTACTGATAATGGGCGGGAATACTTCTCTAATGATCTTAATGGTTACCTACAGGAACATGGCATATTCCATCAAAGTTCTTGCAATCATACCCCGCAACAAAACGGGGTTGCTGAAAGAAAAAATCGGCACATTTTGGAGGTTGCTCGTTCTCTTATGTTCACCACAAATGTTCCCAACCATTTTTGGGGAGAAGCTGTGTTAACTGCTACCTATCTTATCAATCGTCTTCCCTCCAAACCTCTCCAATTTTTAACCCCTCTTAACTGTCTAAAAAGTTTTTTTCCTTTAGTCAGAATGTTGGAGTCTATTCAACCAAAAATATTCGGGTGTACAGTCTTTGTTCATAACTCAAGTCCTACAAGAGGAAAACTGGATCCAAAATCTCATAAATGTATATTCCTTGGCTATTCTCCCACACAAAAAGGGTACAAATGTTACTGCCCAAAATCCAAAAGGTTCTACATATCATGTGATATTACTTTTCTTGAAAATCAACCTTTCTTTCACAATGATTCGTTTCAGGGGGAGAATATGATTGAACCTCATCATTGGGATCCTTCCATCTCTCTTCCAATTTCTCTTCCTTTACCTGAACCTATACAAAAAGAATCTGAAACAGAATCTACACCAATAACCAGTCAAGGGGGAGAATCAGAAAAGAGGACTCAAAATGAGTTCAAATTTTTTCCAAAATTCTACACTAGGAGACATAATGTTCCTTTGCAAGGTCAATCTTCAGACTTGGAGCCAAATCATGTGGAAGCAATAGACTGTAACACTGAAGGTAATTGTGCAGTTGAAAATCTTAATGTTGAAAATGATACTATGGATGAATTTGACTTGCCTATTGCATTACAAAAAGGAGTTAGATCTTGTACAAAGCATTCTATATCAAATTTCCTCACATATTCTAACCTATCTCCGAGATATAGAGCTTTTGTTACAGAATTGGATAGAGTTCAGATCCCAAACACTGTCGAAAAATGGAGAGCTGTTGTCTTAGAGGAAATGGCTACAGAAGTAATATGGCAATTGTTTGTTTGACTACGAGTATCTAAGGTTTACTGAGGTAAAAGCTAATTTCGTTCATAATATTTTAACTATTGTTGAAGTAATGAATATTTGCACACAACATAGATTAAACACATTCTCTACTATATAAATTATCCCCACAATGTGTAAGTGCAAGATAATAATATTGCAATTCTTTGATTATTCAAGTGTTCTAAAATATTTCTAATTTAGTCGTATCAATTTAGATCTCAAATAACTAATAAGTTAATTAACCAAACAATTAGCCGATGTATAAATAACAATCCACTTGTTTATCAACCAATTACACTAAGGAATAAGCTTTGTTCTTTTTGTGATTTATAAGTTACTATAGAAAGCACCTATGTGAGAAATTTGATTAAGTTTGCAATGAAGTATGAATAAAACTAAACAACAACGAAGGCATAAAAACATGTAAATGGAGCAATGTGTTGGAATTTACCCATATACAAACACTTAATTTAATGATGGTTAACTCATAATATAAAAAAAATAATAATAACTCCCGAATGTCCCAAGATCATCATATCACCATGAAATCAATATTACATACTCAAATCCATAGCATGTTGCAAGATAACTCTTGATCTTTGGCATGGAGAACTGTTGATAAAATAACTTTTTTAATCATGTCACCAAATTCTTCAAATGAAACTTGATGTTTCTTTCTTATGGGGTGAGTAAGAGATGTGTGCTGATATAACATATTTTAAGGATCATAATTATACCTTAGATTTTAACTTGATTGTTTTATAGTCTAATAAATTCATAAAAATTAGATTACTTATATTGAGTCCTCTAAATATAAATAATTAATAAAATTTAATATGTAATTAATTAACTTAATTATATAAGAATTATAAAATTTCTAATGTAATTGTAAAGATAATAAATGAGAAGAAAGAATGTGATATTGGATTATATCCAATTGATTTTTCATATGAATTATCAGTTCTTTGTGTGTCTCACGTAATTGGTCTTCTCATTAAACTTGTCTACAATTTTTTTTAACCATGTAATTGACCACATATTCTACCACATTTGAAAACGTTACATGTGACAACTAATTTTAAATTATATGATTTGATTGTTTGGCAATATCACGACTCAGTGTATGGTCTTTTTTAAAAGTCAATTGTAGTTGGTACGAATTAAATTATAATGCACTGAGTTTTGACTAGTAATGAAACTTACTACTATAATATTTTTCCTTCTGTATAGAAATTGACCGTAGAATCATTAAATCATTTTCACATTTCTGAAAATTTATAATAAGATTGTTAGCAATATGTATCCTCTTGTTTCGACCACTAATGGAGAAAAGGATCGAAATGTTTAACTTTTAGCCGACACGCGTGGGTTTTGGTCAAATGTAATTTATTATGATATGTATACAATCTTATTTTCAAAGGGACCATTAGTTTGTATAGATATAAACTTAGAATTTTTTAAAAAATTTCACTAAAAATAATATATATATATATATATATATATATATAATTTAAAAACTTTTTTAAATTTATATCTAAACAAAAGTTAGGTTAATTTGATAATTTTTTTTATCAAGTTTACTATAATTTTTTTTTTTTGAAATAAGATTTTCTAAATATAAATTAATTCACCACAACTCGATGTTAACCAAAATTATATAATTTTAGAAAATTAAGATCATCTTAAATATAGTTTTCAAAATGCTCACTTAATGTGCAGGTATCTCTAAAATGCATTATCTAGATTATATCCTAAATATAAATTAATTCACTATAACTTTATGTTAAATAAAATTATATAATTTTATAAAATTAAGATCATCTGAAATAAAGTTCTCAAAATGCTCACTTAATGTGGAGGTGTCTCTAAAATGTATTATCTAGAGTATATCCTAGTGTATTATATATCTTTACAAAATTAAGATCATCGGAAATAAAATTTTTAAAATGCTCACTTAATGTGGAGGTGTCTCTAAAATGCATTATCTAGAGTATATCCTAAATATAAAAATTCATTACAACTCGATGATAACCAAAATTATATAATTTTACAAAATTAAGATCATCCGAAATAAAGTTTTCAAAATGCTCACGTAATGTGGAGGTGTCTCTAAAATGCATTATTTAGAGTATATCTTAGTTTGTGTTAGTACTACAAATATTCTCCTGTTGATAATTAAAAATTAATTTTTTTTAAGATGTATAAATTACATAAATTAATTTTATCTCCTTAAATAATATAATTTTTTTCAAGTAAACATTTAATTTGATCTCTAAAAGATGGTAGAGGTGGTCAATAGATTCTTGAAAGATTTTTTTGTGTCATTTGGGTCTTTAAATTTTAACTTTGCTGTGTAAGTTATCCTTCCGTTATACTCAGTTACTATCTCTGCTAGTTTCTTAAATAGTCAGTAGTTAAGTGTCAGATTGACACTTATTGTCTCTCTCAATTAATTGCTTTTTCTCCTAATCATCTAATATGAACCATAATGTAAGATTTTAGTACTTTTCAATCAACAAATGACACTTGTCATTTTTAAATATTCTAACCATGGCTGCTCTGATAAAAAATGGAAGATTGTTGTTGGGTTTCATAAGGATTCCTATAGTTAGACTTTTTCTATCTTAGTCACCCTTAATTTCTTTGTTTGTATTGGCTATAAGTTTAGGATTGTAAATTTTAAATTATTGAATTTACGATTTAGTAAAATGAGTATTCATTCTAAAAGATCTCAATTAAGGAAATATCAATTGAATATGGGTGCTTTTATTATATTTAATGGATCGCAAAACTCTTTTGGTAAAAGTGGAGAAGACCTTATTAGTAATAGGGTGGGTGAGAAGAAATAAGTCATTCAAACGTCACTTTTGTTATTTTTAATTTAAATTAAAAATTAAGCGTTACTTTTTCACATGTCTAAATTCACTTACTTTATAACTGTTGCATGCTAACTAGGAGAAATATGTGCCAATGTAGCAATTAACTGTTAACTAATCATGAAATGAACAAAGTTAGTAATTGAATATAACAAAAGGACTAACTTGTATAACGAAATTAAAATTTAGGAACTTAAATGCCACAAAAACTCTTTCTAGGACCTAACGATTGCCTCAATCATCTTTTAGGGACCAAATTGGGTTTTTTTTTTCATTCACGATCCAACATATTATTTGATCATAACAAAAGATAACTCAGTGTTAAAGTAATATTTGTCCTACAAAAATCATGTTTCGCGATTGTAACCCAAATTAATCTTAGATTATTAACTTTATAGGTAAATCTAACTTTAATTAAATTTTACACATAATCAATGTCAGGCATTTGAAATTAAATCTAGAGATAAAAGTTTTTCCATGTTTTTTATTACAAGTAATTATAATCAGAAAATAAGTTTAGTTAATATTATAACACTGTAAGTTGTGATACTGTTACATTACTCATAGTTGTTTTATGTTGTTGAGAGACTCGAAAATCTGAGAATTCCTTAAGAGTTTCAATTTCCAGGCAGAGATCTAATTCAATATAGAGAAAAGAGTATATAAGATTTCTATTTAAATAGAGTCTCATAAACTCAGCTTCAATAATATTTATATATTATTTTCAATTCCATCAATTTAAAATCACTTAGTTGAAACTAATAAGTTGTTGATTCAAGTGATATTAGATTCAATATCCTTCCTTAAACAAAGTCTCGAATTCAAGTCTTGTATATAAAAAAAATAATCAAGAAGAGAGATGTCACTAAAGGTGGTTAATCAAGTTCTCAAACAAAAATTAGCATCAATAGAGTTGGTAGATACTATGTACCACTAACAATTTCAAAAAAAAAAAAAACTAAAATTATAACATTAATACAATTACTTGTTATCATTAGATTAAATTATTCTTTTGGTCTCTTAATTTATTTAGTTCATTTCAATCCCTCTGCTATAAAAAGATTCAAATTGGTCCTTTACATTTTGAAAATGATGCAATGCGATCTTTTTTTTATATATTAAATTTAACAATGTTAACTCTTTGTACATGTAGCAAACAACATCAAAATATATATATATATATATATATATATATATATATATATATAGACAGAT